CTTGCCTGAGCTCTGTTGTGGGTGCAGCCTTATCCCCTTGTGCTCCTGGTTTCTTGGACAGCCCCAGCCTCTTGCTTTGTCTGGGGCTGCCCATGGTGCATGCTGGTTGTGGAGGGTCTCCTGGCTTTGAGGGCTCCCTCAGATCCCAGCTTGTCCCCCTCCTCATGGGGCAGCCCTGCTCCTGCTGCTGCCTTGCATCCAGACGCCTCTGCTAGGACGGGGGAAGTTGGAGTCACTGCAAAGCCAGAGCCCTGTGCAGGAGCAGCACTTTCCAGCCCTGTCCCCGCTTCCCCCTCCCTGCGCTGGCCTGTGAGTGCTGCTTTTTGGGTTTCTCAAATGGGCAAGAGTGGGTTTTATAGAGGGTCCTGGGGTCCACCTCTCCTTGCCACTGGTGCCACTGTCTCTGCAGCCCATGCTTTGAGATCCCAGATGAAAGGTGCTGTAGAAGAACATCGGCTGGGTTGGCCCATGCAAAGGGGGCAGGTATTTCTATTTTGGGAAGGCTAAGAGATGTTTTTTTCCTCTGTGTCCAGCTCTGCAGAGAGCTGGTTCCTGCTGTCCCCTCTGAGATCAGAGACAGGGAGGGATGGGCGTAGAAATGCACCCTCTCTGCTAGCAAGGCAGTGGCTTTATTCCTGCCTTTGCTGGGGAACCGGCTTGAACTTTTTCATGTGACAGCTTCTGCTCCTGCAAAAAGCGCCTGGGAAAATAGGCGAGAGGCCCACGCTGAGATGTGGCCTGCTTTTCCCCATCACCAGGCCCACGTGCCAGGGCCCGTGGGCAGGGACAGGCCCCGGTGCGTGCGGCGCTCAGCCCTTGCAGCCGGGCCGGGGGGTGAGTGAGAAGAGGAGCAGATGGGCTGTGTGGGATGCGAGCAAGGTCTGGGGAGCAGCAGGTCCTGGTGCCGTGCTCCAGGAGGCTTTCTTGGGCAGCGCCAGCTGGCAGGCTCCTGCAGCAAGGCCAGCCCAGGATATTCTGCCTAAGCACTTGCACTTGTGCAGCACCTTGCACATCTGGGAGGCTTGCTTGGGTTGGCAGCAGGGTGATGGATGAGCAGGGCGAGGGCTGCTTGGCCATGTGGGAGGGACCCTCCAGGCCCAGGAGGACCAGATGCAGGCTGGTGTGGCTGGGCTGTGGCTGGGACAGAGCAGGGCTGTGCCTCCTGGCACCTGCATCTCCTTGGGCTGTCTCCAGTTCCTGCCCTGCCAAGGACTGGGGTGATGCAGCCTTTCGCCCCCAGGGCTAGAAGGAAAGAGGCACCCGGGACATGAAGCTGCTGGTGGGATGGGGGAGCAGGGGGTGCAGGAGGGACCCCAGCCTCTTACCCCCAGCAGTGTAGGTTGCATTCCCTCATCATGAGCTGGGACTGCGTGCACCTCTTCCCCTGGCTCTCATCCCACGTTCGTTATCTGCCTTTTAGCATCCACGTAATCTCCTTTCTCACTTCCTTTGCAGCCTTTTGTCCGACACAAAGCGGGAAGAAGGGGTGTGGGAGTGAGGGAAGCAGGCAGCTTCTTCCTGCCTGGGCTCTTTAAACCTAGGCTCCAGCCTCTGAGCTGAGGCTGGGACACATCTCTGTAGCCACCTTGCAGGCGATGCAAGGGCTGGGGGCTGGCCGCAGCCCCCCCAGATAGTGGACAGGACATGCAGCTGGGCTCCTGGCTGTGGTGGGGCTGGTAATGGAGATTGTGTTGCTTGTTTGGCTTGTCTTGCTGCTTTGGGCTCCTGATGGGCTTGGGAGATGCTCAAGGAGCCCAGCAGCTCCTGCTGTGACCTGGAGCTGGACACTCCCCCTTGAGGTCCTGCATCCTCACGTGCAGATTGGGGCAGTGGCTCTGGATACCTTGACACAGGTAATAAGTTTTCCTCCCAAGGTCACTGGTGTTTCAAGTGGTTTCACAGGTGAAGAAACCCTACACATGTCTAAGAGGTCGGTGGTGTGACATGTCCAGCCCGGGCTGTGCAGGAACACCCATGGGCAGTGGGAGTCTGACCAGGAAGGAGCACCTGGAGGTCTCCAAGCCCTGCCAGGGATGCCATGGGGTCCGAGGGGTTGCCAGTCTGGCAGGCAGCAGGTACACGAAGGCAGGCTCAGAGGAGGAGGCAGGCGTCTCCCAGATCTGTTGCTTGGGGCTTAATGGCGAACTCTCCTGTACAGATAATTTTAGAGGTCATTGTTTTCTTCCACCCTGATCCAAACAGATGCTTGCTGACCAAGCAATCTGTCAGGGAGCCCCTTCCACCCCATCTGGTATCCCGGGCCTTGAAGACCACTGTGATGGGATGCCAGACCCCTCCTGAGCTCCTCTCACCGCTCAGCAGAAAATTTCCTGACAGCTAAGGTGAAGCCGCATTGCGTGCACCCCTCCTGCTATGTCCCAGCCATCTCCATCTTGTTGTGCAACTGGCCTGGCCAGGGCTTTCTGTCCAGCGGTGCCCTTGGGGCCTGGTGCTTGCAGAGCAGGTCTGGAGAGCCCTTTGCTGCTGGCTCCAGCCAGCCTGCGCCCTAGCAGGGCTGGGGTGCGCCGGAGGCGGGTGCTTAGGGCACTCACAGAGGCTGCAGAGGCGTGTTTGGAGGCTGCTGGGCTGGTTTTGGTGTCTCCAGCTCTTCCATCTGTTTTGCTTCCAGCCCTGCCAAGAAACGTGAAATGGCACTTCTGCTCCGTGTTGGTGACAGCCGCGGCCCAGGGGTCCTCACCAGGCGCTATCTCCCTGCTGTCAGCATGGTCGGCGTCTCCAAGTGCTCGTCTGCAGCCAGGTGTGTGGGATCGGTGAAGGTCGTCTGCAAGGTCGGGGTCCTTCAGGCTCTATGTTTCCCTCCCTGGCTGCTGCCAGGTGGCTTTTTATAGCCAAATGGTTCCGAGAGGCAGAGCCCGGGCAGGGACACCAGCATGTTGTCTTAGGGGCCATGCATTTGGGGGCATCTCCTGTCAGCACACATCCAGCGTGTCCTTGCCCACGTGGGCTCGATCCCTTCCCTACTGGCACACCTCCTCACAGAGAGCCAGGGCAAGGAGCAGGTAGTGTCATTGGTGAAATGAGTTTGTCCATCTCAGCACACACTCTAGCCCCGGGAATGGGGCTCTCCCAGGAGCTCCTGAGTGGGCTAATGTTATAAACTGGGGCAGATGGCAGGGGATGGCACCATCCCCATCCCTTACTGGAGAGCTGGGGGCAGAGCTGTGCCAGGTCTGCACCTGGAGCAGTCCTTGGCCATGGGGGGCTCCCAGAGGGGAGTCGAACAGGGGGAGCAGGAAGCCACACAGCCTGGCCCTGGGAGGTCACCGGGGGAGGAAGAGGATGGAGGGACGCTGACCCGGCCTCGGCAGATGGACAAACCTCCCTGCCCGGGTGACAAGCTCCGTGGCTCGTCTGCCACCACACCTCCAGTCACCATGACAACAGACAGGGAGGCAAGCAGAGCTGGGCGCTGCCGCCCCAGGGGGCACAGTGGGTGGGGGACCCAGCATGGACAGACGTGAGCCTGCCCTCGGGCCCAGGTTTTGTAGGGCTTGGACCAGGCACCACGCGCTCTGGCCAGCCCTGCTGCTGGGCCACAGGGCTCCGGGAGGCAGCAGGTTGGTCTGGGGGCGCAGGTGCCACAGCGAGGCCGGGCAGCCCCTGTGCCAGGCGGTTTGGCGAGAGACTGTGCTGAGCAGTTGAGTCATGATGAAGCCTGGAGCGGTGTCAGGCAGGGCCATCCCCCTGGGTGCGTGTGTTTGAGGGGGGCTGTGCCAGGGCCACCTGGGTGTTAGTGGCTCCCTGCAGGTCCCAGAGTGGGGGTGTATGGTAGAGCTGTGTCCTGGCACTGGGTGGCAGGAGGGTTGTGTGGGTGCTGGCACCCGCCAGCCTCGTGTGCCTTCAGGGACAGCATCGGTCCTGGGCACAACGGGATGTGTCGCCCCACTGCCGGGCACCCTCAGCATCCATAGGTAGAGAAGGGCCTTGGCCATGAGTCACCACTGCCAAGCCAGAGGGGCACTGTCCCCAAGGGGTGGTCCTTGTCCCCAAGGGGTGATGGGCGCCCCTCTAGCTGTCCCTGGCTGGCTGCCAAGCCAAAAGGGAACGAGGAGAGCAGTCTCCGGGAGCACGGGCGCCTCCTGCCCTCACCGTCCCACGCGCCCACTCGCGCCAACTGGTCTTGGCACGCAGGGAATGTGTTCCCGGCAGCCCAGCCCTCTCCCATCTGGTATTTATCTCCTTCCCGAAATCCCTCCCTCTGCGGGGGAGATGCCTGGGCTCTGGAGGATCCTGCTTCCCCACTGCTCACTCCACAGCCCACGGTCGCGGCACCCTCGCCCTGAGCAAGTGCCCAGCCCTGAAGCGGCAGCAATGGGGACTGCTGCTGCGGGGAAGGGGGAACCCAACACTTGGGTCTGGCTCCCAGGTGCCGCCCCTACCTTGAGCCCTGGGTGCCCCAAAGCTGCAGAGCCAGGAGAGCCTGCGGGTTGCCCAGGCAACCGCAGCCAGGCAGTGATGGGGAGCGGTCCAGGGGAGGGGTTGCCATGGAGACCGGGAGAGCACGATTGCCTTGGCAACAGATCCCCCCCTTATGCCCTTTGGGGCTGCAGCAGGGCACCCTGCACCCCAGAGGAGCTACCCTTGTGGATGGTGACGCCCTGCGTGGCCAGGGCAAGGGCCCCCCTCACCCCCCGCCCAGTGCTGTTACTCCGGCGCGGTGGGGGTTTATCCCTCTGCTGAAATTCCAGCCCTTGTGGCCTCCCGCTCCAGGCTTTTAGCTTTCCCGTGCCCTGTGGGGACTGGCCCAGCGACCTCCCAGCCCACAGGGGCAGCTGCTGCCCCTTTTTGAGCCCTCCCTCCAACTGCTGCTTTTTGCCCTGGGCTGGGTGCTTTAAGCTAGACCGGCTCCCTGAGCTGGTTTGTGAAGGGGCTGATGGCACCCACTAGCCCTCGCCAGGAGGCTTTCTCTGCTCCAAGTGTGTCAACCAGGCCCGCAGTCCCCCGTTTTTAACGGCATAAAGAAAGGCATGAGGCTGAGCTCCGCTCCCTGGCTTTATCAATCAACAAACAACAGCAAGTTGCTCTTGCACGGACTCCTGCCCAGGAAGGGGACAAGAAAGCTGAGCTCTGCGGCTGGCATACACAGGGGCGCCGCGAGGGCTGGAGGCCCGGGCAGGCTCCGGTGCTGCCCTACATCTGTCCTCCAGCTCCAAGAGACTGGGGACTCTACAGTGAGGGATGGAGAGACACTGCAGCCCCACAGCAGCCTCACATCCCCCCACTCCCAGAGTACTGGGGGACAGAGCAGCGGCTGGCAAAGGCAAAATTCAGCTCTTCCCTGAAACTGGGACCTTCATCCCTCCGAATGCCCCACACAGTCTGTATAGTGGCCATAGCCACACCAATTAAGGGTAGAAAAACACTGGAACCACGGCCAGGTCTGTGTCCCCCCGCCTTCCCTAGATGTGTCCATCCAGCCCTAGTATCTTCCCCTCACCCCAGTCATGCTTCCTGGGGACAAAGCCACACGCTGGAAAAGCAAAACAAGAAACAAAATCCACGTGCCTCCTGGGAGGAGGGGTCCCTGCCTCGGGTCAATGCTGCAAAAACAAAGCTCAAACAGCAACCTGCCAAAGTAAAGGCCCTGTGTGGTGCAGGGGAGCTACCTCCTTATGTCAGGCACCAGAGAGTACGCTTCCTCCCAGGTGTTCGTATTAAGGGGCCTTCCTCTGGCAGACAGTGCAAAGAGGAGGGTGAAGGTCTATAAGCCTCCCTTGGCTTTATAAAGAATGCCCTTGGCCCCTCCCAAAATCAGATGGGAGGCACATCAGGACTGCTCCCCTCTCCAACAGGAATTGCACAGCTGCATGCAAGTTGACAGCTGACATTTCTACAGGCTCAAGGCTTGGCTTGGTTCATGCTGCCCCTGCCTGTGACCCCTCAGGCGCTCTCAGGCCTGGTACAGGGGCACCACACGGTCAATGGGCCCCCGGCAGATGGGGCAGAGGCGGGTGGGCAAGGCCTGGAAGCAGCGGAAGCAGCAGCAGATATGGCCGCAGCCCAGAAGAACGCACTCGCGGGGCCGCGTCAGGCAGACCACACAGGAGTCCTCGAGCCCATCATCTCCGGCCTCCTCGCTGTCTGGCTCCTTTTCTTCACGCTTCTGCTTGAGGCGGATTTGGCGGTAGGCACGGCACAGGGCATGCAGGAGGACCGCCAAGCCCGCCACGGCACACAGCACGGCTGGCCCCCTTCCAAGACCCCCGTCGGGGTGCAGGGCCAGCTCCCCAATGCCTGTCAGCCCGGCTCCCACCCGCAGCATCTCCTCCGTCTCTAGGATGCCCTTGGGTTTCTCCCCACTCAGGTAGTGGCCCAGCAGGTCGCGGAAACCGTGGGCCGGCTGCTGGAACCGCTCGTACACCGTCTCCAGGGGCAGGTGGATGGCTCGGAGCGGGCTCTCCACGCTCACCTGTGTCACCGCCTCAGCATCTGGTGAAGCCAGCAAGAAGGGGACGGTGTAGACCTGCTCTGAGAGCACCCGCTCGCTCTCGCTCCTGCAAGCAGTCAAGAGCACAGCACTGAGAATGTGGACAACTTGGAACAACCGTGAGCTCCTGGGGCTGAAGTGACGGCGGGGAGCAGAGCCTGTGACCAAGCTGCTTCCTGCCTCTCAAAGGCCCCAGAGGAAGGGGGGCTGGACCTGCTGGTGCAAGCCCGCCCCTGCTGTCCCCCCACACTGCTCACCAGCTCCGAGCCAAGCTGTTCCAGATCAGGCGATGCTCTTTTAGAAGCAGTTTCTGGATCACACCCTGCATCTCCTCATGATAATGGCTGGACAGTGCAGCCTTGGCTGGCAGCACTATGCCTGAGGGCGAAGGGATGCATCAGAGCCAAGGGAGGAGAGCCCCAGCCCCTGTCCCCATTGTGAGGGCCATGGAGAGGCCTTACCTTCCAGGGCAACGTAAGACAGGCACCTCCCATCAGCTGCAGACACCAGCGCTGGCAAATCGTCATCAACCTGGAGCTTTGGGGCCTCCTGGCAAAACAGGGACTGCGTGTGAGCACAGGCAGGGGGAGATGGGCTAGTGGGCATAGGGCTGGTCATGCGTGGCACTGGGGGTGTCTTTGGCAGGATGTGACCTGCTTGGTCCTGGGCATCATGACACAGATGGAGGATGCAGTGATCAGTAAGTTGCACCCAAATCATGAGCTCTGGGCTGGGCAGTGTTGGGCTGTGGGGATGGGATGGTGCGTAGGAGAAAGAGCCAAAGTGGGGGGTGGGGGGGGAAAGGCCGAGAGGGACAGAGCAGTACCCAGCCCTTTCTGGCTACCTGGATGCGCGTCACGACTCTGGCTTTCTTCCTGTACAGGTAATAAAAGAGGCCGGAGAAGGCGATGCTGGAGCCCAGGCAGAGCAGCTCCCCGGGCGTGATGGGCAGCGTGTCCATGGTGCCCGGCGCGGGCAGTACGTCTGCAAGGCGAGTGTGTTGGCAAGGGCACGGGGCTGAGTCGGCCCGGGGCAGGGATATCCCCGTGCCCCGTGTCCCCGGGTGCTGCCGGCCTGGAGTCAAACCGGCCCAGGACCCCGGTCAGGGTCAGATCGGTTTAACTCCAGCGCCCAGCCCCCGGCCCGGGCCCACACCAGCCCCCGGCCCGGGCCCAGCGCCCGGGATCTGCCCCGGGCTCAGGCCCCGGCCTAGCAACCAG